GCCATAAAAAGGGACGCAGGACAGATATATCCTACCACATAGATGTACCTAGAAAATATTTGGATAAACAAAATGTGGTACATCTACACAACGGAATATTTTTTCGGCCATAAAAAGGGACGAAGGACAGATATATCCTACCACATAGATGTACCTAGAAAATATCAGGTTAAGTGAAAGAAGTTAGCCAATAAAGACGACATATTATCTGATTCCATTTTTAGGAAATGTCCAGGATTAGCAAATCTATAGAGATAGCAGATTAATGGTTGCCTGGGACTGGGGGCTGGAAGGTTGGGAGGATAGCTAAGGGTGCAGGGTTTCTTTCTGAGGTCATGAAAATGTTCTAAGTGGACTGTGGTGATGGTTGCACATCTCTCCGAGCATATTAAACTCCATTGTACACCTTAAGTGGGTGAATTGTATGATGTATGAATTACATCTCAATAAAGCTGCCTTTAAAAACATACCAGTTGCTAGGGCCGGCCGGGGGCTCACTTGGGAGAGTGCGGTGCTGATAACACCAAGGCCAAGGCTTCAAATCCCTATATAGGGATGGCCGGTTAGCTCACTTGGGAGAGCGTGGTGCTGACAACACCAAGTCAAGGGTTAAGATCCTCTACTGGTCATCTTTAAAAAAAAAAAACAAAAATACCAGTCGCTATTTTTTTTCTTTTTTTAAATACAATGATTTCAAATGAAAATCTAGCTTTCTGGCTTCTCTCTTAAAAACTCAGAAGATCTGGCAATTCTACCCCAACCAGAATTGTGGCAATTCATGGAACAACCAGCAGGAGCCGAGGGACGGCCTTTCCTTTAACAGGGTCTGTGCCGCGGCACGTGCCCAAACTATCAATTCACCTGCATCACCAGCCTGCCTCAGGTGGGCCTTGGAGCTTGTGACCCTGGTGGGCTTCCCCATTTGCACATTTGCATTTCCACATTTCTGAGAGGCTTGAACCTACGCTGTCAAGGTAGGGAGAAGACGGGGTTGAGGGTAACCCATGAACTCCCCTGAAATCACATACAAAACTCTGTGTGTGTTTGGGAGGAGAATCCACATACTTCCATGAGATGCTCCAAGGCATCTATGACTCAAAACAGGCTAAGAACTCCTGCTTAAATTGTCCCATTAGGCCTGTCCCCCCACCACACACACACACACACACACACACACACACACACACACTTTATGGACCAGAAAAATCAGGATCCAGTGAGAAATGACTTGTTTACAACCCCACACCCACGAGGCACCCCCATAGCTTGTCTCTGAATGCAGCACTCTTTCCCCTGGGGTCCCCCCATATTTGCCAGCCAAGAGGCAACAGTGGGCTGGCGCTCTCTCCTCCCAAGCCCCCTCTGCAGGCCGGAGAATATTGCTGTGAGCTGATCATTTGCTCCCTCCCCTGCCAGGCAAGGCCAGGCTCTCCATCATTGTCAGGGCCCCAGCTCGAGGGCACGGATGGAACCGGCTGTTTTATTCCTGGGGGTACGCAGCCACAGAGCCCCCACCAGCAGGGGAGGCTAGGGGAGGCCAGGGGTGAGTGCAGAGCACACTGCACATTCTGCTTCTTTATTGGGGTTCTCCATCACACTCCCAGACCTAGGGCAAAGTGAGGGAAGGGAAAGGAATCATGAAAAGTTTGCACCCTGGGCCAGCTGGGCCCCCACAAAACAGGGGCGCCTTCATGCCTTACAGCTCTCCACTCCTGGTAAAATGCTCGCAGCCCACGGCCACCTTGGGTCCTGGTGAGCAGAATGCACCTGTGTCCTGCAGCCATGGAGCCTGTACCACCAGGGACCTTCCAGAAGCCCCCACAGTGCCACACCTTCAGGTCTCTGCTCAGCTCTCCACCTCCTGATGCCAGGTGGTACAGAGGTTAAACCACAGGCTCTGGGGTCGGGGGGCTTGGGTTCAAGTCCACAGCTCGATGGCTGGGCACCATGGATTTGCTACTGTACTGCTCCAAGCTTCCTTCCCTCATCTGCCAAATGAGAATGGCAATTCTCAGTAGAAGTGCCAAGGGTGGATTGGGGAGGTTTTGCTCCCCCATAATCTTCCCTGGCACCTGCCCCCATTCTGATGTGGCCAAGTGACATTTTCTCGCTTTAATGAAATGCATTAGACAAAAGCAGCTTCAACCAGGCCTTTGGCCCTGTCCTCCACCAGATGGCCGCCCCTAAAACCAGACCCCAGAGAAATGAGGGAGATGCTGCTGGAAACGGCACCCAACTCACAGAGCTGTCGTGATGGTTGAACAAGATACTGCAGGTAACATGTTCACTCCATGCCTGGCACATACCAAGTAAGTGCTCAATAAATGTGACACCAGCCTTGTCCAGGGCTGCCCTCCCACACTGACTTCATCCTGCCACCCAGGATTTGAGCCATCTCACAAGCCCCACGCTCAGGGAATATACACGGACTTTAATAGCCCAAGCCCAACGGAAGTGGGAGGGAAATGTATCACATGCATGTGTTATTTAAAAATCATCAGAAATGGGCCAAGAAAACAAAACAACCCATGGCCGGCTGCAGGTTACCCACTGCTCTGGGTATCAAGGGATGCTCTGCCCTTCCTTTCCCCATCACTGAGCAGATAATCCAAAGCTGACTAGCGCCATGGAGAGCCAAGCTGTGGAGTCCCCGGGGGGCCAGAGGGGACTCATCAGGAGTACACATCTTCCTGCACATGGATGCAGGGCATGCTCAGCTCTTGGCTGGCAACTGGTAAATCTCACAACTTCCGCCATTCCCAGGCACCCCAGATAAGCCCTAAGACTGGCCATCCCACTATGGAATCGCAGAACTGCAGACTACAGGGCCCCCACCATGACATCAGCCTTGCCTTCTGCAGACTGGGATGCCACCCGGGTGCACACTCCCCCCCCCCGCTCAGGGCTCTCTGCCCACCAAAGCCACAGCCAGTGCCCTCCCACACCCCACTGCTGTTCCCATCTGTCCTCATCACCTCCGGCACCACTGGGAAAGCAGCTGAGAAGGAGGACCTTATATGGACAACACCAGGCTTTGCGCTTTCCTGGTTCAGGGGTTGGGAACACAGCAGGGGTCCTCTTCGGAGGCTGGCGGCAAGACAGAGCACATGCACCCCCATGTCCGTCAGGAGGCCTGAATCTCTGACACATGGAGCTTCACAGTCTCACTGCATCTGCCCCACACAGAAGGATACAGGGCAGGGGGCTGTGCAGTCCCTTCCCCCAGCCTCCTGTCCTACCCAGCACTGACCCCAAGGCCTGTCCTAGCCCTGGATGTTGCTTCCCAGAACTTGAGCACCACCCACCATTGTGGCTTCAGACAGGGCCCCTCCCTGTAGAGGGAGCCCCTGTCATAGGAGCCAGGACACCTGCAGACACAACATTGCCCAAGTCTGGGTCAGCCAGGACCCTGCAGACTCTCCAAGAAACAGCCAGATCTGCTGGAAAGAGCACTGGAGCAGAAGTCCAGAGACCTGGGTTTGAGGGCTGACTCTCTGCCCCTTCTTCTTGCAATCTATACCAGCACTTCCCAAATGTCAGTTATTTGTGAACCATCTTTATGATTTTTGCTGAATCTAAGTATTATATACTATTACTTAAGTTGTTCTTGTCAACTCACTTAATTTTTTCTCTCAAGTGAATTTAGCACCACATAAGTCATAAATGTCTATAAAATCACAAATTAAATGTGTAACCATTAAAATGTTCAATGTTCAGGCCGGCTCGGTGGTGCACTGGATAGTGCGCCGCTTGGGAAGCGCGGTGGCACTCCCGCCCGAGGGTTCGGATCCCACATGCGGACCGGTTCCCGCTCACTGGCTGAGCGAGGCGCGGGAGCAACACCGAGGGTTGCGATCCCGTTGCCGGTCCCCGGTCCGGTGCGGGGGCAACACTGAGGGTTGCGATCCGTTGCCGGACACGGAAAAAGACAAAAAAATAAAAAAATTAAATTAAATTAAATTTAAAAAAAATAAATGTTCAATGTTCATACACCTGATGCCTAAAACCACATTTTTGGAAATACTGACCCACAGCAAATCTCTCTTCTTGCCCCAGTTTCCGCAACTAAAAAGAGCAGAAGATTGGACTAACTGACTCCTTCGTAGATCTCCTCATGCCTCAAGATTCTCCAAGACTGGACTGGCTCTAGCTCCACCATGAACCCAGAGCTGGCTGGTCAGGATCCTGGGACAGGCCTGGCACAAGGCAGGGGAAGGGACAGGAAAGGAGAGCCTTGCACCTGCTGGACAGGGAACCGGGGCTCGCATTGAGAAGAAAGGCTCTGGCTGGATGGGCACAAACAAGAAAGCCCAACCCCACTTAGGAGTTCCCAAGGACCCCAAAGCCACTTCCAACCTCAAACTCCATAGGCTGCTCCAAGTTATAAAACTTCACAGTTAGAAAATCCTCATTTATCCAACTCTTTGTATAGCTGGGAAACTGAGCTGCAGAGAAGAGAAAGAGCTTATGTGGAAAACCCAAGTCCCCCCATCATCACATTACCCCATCACCCCAAATAGCCACACACCCCACAAGTCTAGGCCCCCTCTATTACCTCCCCTCAGAGGCATGAGCTCAGGTCTGCCAGCCCTGAGAGTGCAAAGTAGCCCCTTCCAGGAAGGGAAATGGAGAACTTCTGATTTAGATTGGAGTTTAAAAGTCCTATTAAAGTGGCTTTTATGCAATTAGATTGGAATGAATGTGCAGTGACGCCCATAGCAGGGAGCTTCAAGGCCTGTGCAGTGGGAGAAATCGCCGCCCATCTGAATGGTGCCCACAAGGAGGAAACGTGGCCCTCGGGAGAATAAGGGCATATTAGTCTCCATATGTAATAGATTTTATTGACCATATGGAACTGATATAAAAATCGTGTTGCACAGGGTAGTCTGGACTGGAGACAGGAATGTGACACAAAGAATACCATTTCCATAACCAGCTGGGTGGCTTTCTGAATTCCTGGGCCAGCCCCCCAGGACTCCCACCAGCCCCTGGGCATTTACCTGCTGCTGTCACGGAGGAATCCCAGGCCAGCGAGAAGTCCGAGGCCTCCCCCTCTTCAACTGAAAGAGAGAACAGAGATGGGCCTGTGAGTTTTGAAGCTGTATAAATAGGTCATCAGGTGGGGCACAGGGCAAGGAAGACGGAAATTTTGTGGGGGTCCTTATTATAATTACCCACGACCAGGGGAGCAGGGGAAACCTACAAAGAGGGCTTTGTTGGTTTCACAGAGATGTAAAATGATCAGAATAAAACATGAATAGCAAATGAGAGCCATGTCAGTTACGGTTTCCCCATCCTTGTGCCCCTGGCAGATATCACTAATCGGTCACAGCACTGTCCCAAGAAACCAGTAAGGTTGCTCTCAGAAGCTGGCTAGTGCCCTCGCTGAGACCTGACCCACAGACAGACCTCAAGACATGCTGAGGTCAACTCCCCCAACGGCAGCAGGTTTGAGCACCACACTCATGGGCCAGCAACATCACAAGGCAACTTGCCCCCCTCCATCTCAGACCCCGCATAACGAGGGCTGGGCAGGGATGGAGTGTCCCCACCATCCCATACCCCAGCACGAGACCTCTCTGGTTGAGGCCACGCACTAGGAGAACACGGGAGAAACGTTATACAGCATAATAACACTCTTGTGCTGGAATTAATCCCAGTCTGGAGTATGTAATAATATTAAAGCCGGGTTATGGACTTTGTAAATGGAACTTTGTTTAAGCCAAAAATGTGCATACACAGTATTTTTCAGATTTAACGGGCTCAGAAGATCTACACACATGCAGGCTAAAGCTGCTGCCACACTTGGGCCCCTCAAAGCTGTTTAGCTAAATAAGCGTGACCTCCCAAGTCACTGAACTTGATGTCCCCAAGATGCCACGTCATTCACTTCTGAACATTTGGCCTCAGCCATAATGGGAAAGAGAATGTGAAAACATCCACCATTTTGGAGCCCTTGAGGGAAGTCAAGGCTCCATTCTTGGGTCCAGGGACTCCAGACACGCCTGCAGGGGAGGAAGGGGAGGAGAATGGCCTGGTGCCAGTTGGCTGGGGAAGTTCAGAGTGACGTCCCAATCCTCACTGGCATGCAGCCGCGTAGCATGCTGGAGTCCCTGGAACTACATCCCTGCAAGACGAGGGGCCCAGGGGGCCAACCCCCCTGGGGACTGGACATGAGCACATTTTCCTACTACTGCTTGCACCCTCGCCACTCACGTGCCACCCTCTGGCCCACATTCTGCTTTTGAAGGTATAAACACACCATCCTTTACACATTCTTAATGAGAAAAGTAACTGTTAACCCCACCACCACCACCCCACCATGAGGCCCTGTGCTACCTGACACAGTGATTGTGAGAGGTTTTCCTCCCCCAGCTGGATGCTTTTGTCCAGACCAGGTCTTCAACAATGACTAACCAGCATGGGCAGCAGGCATAGAGAAAGGAAAGTCCCACCTGCAACCAGAGCCAGGCACTTGCTGGGTGGCCCAAACTCACACCAGCAGTAGCACTCTATGGGGGTCTGAGCCAAAAGCCCCCAGCATCCCTAAAATGGAATTCTGGGGCACACACACAATGTACACCGAGGGCTGAGAGGCTCAGAGACACTGCCAGTATGGACAACACACCAAAGGGGACACGCAGCCAGCCAGGGGAGTGACACACTTTCTGGAGATGTCCCTTGACTCCACCTCTAATGTTTTAGTTTATAAGATACTTGGCACCACTGAGACCAAGATACATACCCCAACTGCCCAGTCCCAAGGGGAATACAGCGATACACTCCTGTGGATGATGAGCATTTGTGAGGTGGGTGGGTGCACAGTGACAGGCATGTGAGTACGGGCTGGGTGCATGGGGACAAGCATAGGAGCAGAGGCTGGGTGCCCAGGGGTGAGCATGGGAGCACAGGGTGGGTGCACAAGGGCCAGCACAGGAGCACGGGCTGGGCGCTCAGGGACAAGTGTAGGAGCATGGGCTGGGTGCATGGTGACAAGCATGGGAGCACAGCGTGGGCGCAGGTGGGCCAGCATTGGAGCAAAGGCTGGGTGCTCAGGGATGAGCATGGGAGCACAGGGTGGGTGCACAAGGGCCAGCGTGGGAGCACGGGCTAGGCGCCCAGGGACAAGTGTGGGAGCATGGAGTGGGTGCACAAGGGCCAGCACAGGAACATGAGCTGGGTGCCCAGGGACAAGTGTGGGAGCATGGAGTGGGGGCAGGTGGGCCAGCATGGGAGCGTGGACAGGGTGCATGGAGACGAGCGTGGGAGCATGAGCTGCGTGCACAGGGACAAGCATGGGAGCATGGACTGAGTGCACGGGGATGAGCATGGGAGCATGGACTAGGTGCTCAGGATGAGTGTGTCCACACAGAGAGATTCCCAAGTTGAGTGTCCACATCCAAGGTTGCACAGAGTACATAGGCACAAGGAGGGTTCACAAAGCGAGTGTGGGCATGCAGAGAGAAGGCGCAGCGGCCAGTGCGTGCACACAGAGAGAGGGCACGAGGCCAGTGCATGCACACACAGAGAGGGTGCGAGGCCAGTGTGTGCACACAGAGTGCGTGAGGCCAGTGCGTGCACACAGAGAGAAGGCACAGGGGCAAGTGCGTGCACACAAGGAGAGTACCTAGGGTGGGTGTCAGTGCCCAGGGAGGGGGCACATAGCAGAAGCTGACTGACCATGACGCTAATGAAGCTCCAAACCCAGGGTCCTTTCGGAGCCCACGCCCCATCTGTGGCCCCTGCGATGGGATCCCACATTCCCACATTTTTTGTAATATTTGCAAAAGCAAGATCTGTTACCTGCTTAAAAGCACTGTCTCTTTTGACGCTAATGAAGCTCCAAACCCAGGGTCCTTTCGGAGCCCACGCCCCATCTGTGGCCCCTGTGATGGGATCCCACATTCCCACATTTTTTGTAACATTTGCAAAAGCAAGATCTGTTACCTGCTTAAAAGCACTGTCTCTTTTTACTCCAATGTCTCTTCCATCCAACTTCCTCTCCTGTTGGTCACCTTGGGGTGGCCATGGGCATTTTGTGTTCTTTGTCTCAAAGAGACCCCAGAATTGTTTCAGCTCTAGACCCCACAAATGAGCTCCCTGTTGGAAACAGGCAGTAGACTTCAGGTAGCTTCTGGACTTGCCCAGGGTCATTTGGCCAGGCAGTAGCTGCCCCCTCCTCACCCCTGGTCTACCACCTCCTGTGCACAATTCCATGACCTGAGCTTGCATATCAGCTCCCTGGTTAGCCCCTCCATAACCAGATCACCACTCATTATTCTATCCCCTATTATCTGCCTCCCTCCCTAGGGCACGAACTGTACCTGTCCTGTTCACGGTTGTATCCCAGTGCCCAGCTTTAGTGCAAACATATTAGCAGGCACTCAACCATTTTTTTAATGAATAAGCAAATAGGACCTGGGGTGACATCCCAGAGAGCCTGCCTAGGGGCTTAGCATTGTTCTGAGCCAGGCAGTGGGTAACACAGCCACAGACACATAACTATCCCCTCCCAGAACAGCAGGTAACATGGTCCAATCTGGCTCCCTGGTAGTGCCCACACCTGCTCTTGAGCATAAGCCACTCATGTCTGGGGCAGGCAGAGACTAAACAGAAAACCCTGGCCATGCAGTCCAGTTACAGGGTGGAGCAGGGAATGGTTCCTGTCCACACACTGGGAACCCCCATCACTGCATCAAGGATGGGAACCATCCCCAGGGCTGAGTGTGACAACAAGGTGGTCCTGGGAGAACTGCAGCCTGGCCAGGAGCCCCTGCTAAGCCTCTTCTCCCAACAGGGCCTCAAAGACCTTCATACGTGCTGGTCTCAGCCACAGCAGACATGAAAGCAGGGGTGGGGGGAGATGTGTGGGGAGGTAGGGAAGGGCTTGATCTTAAGTTCTTTCAACTGTCCCGAGATAATTCCCCCAGACTGTGGAGACTGGTGAGTGATGCCGAAAGGTGCAGCCTGTGGACAAGAGCTACCAAAGAAAGCTGTATGAGGAAGCACCCAAACATGTCCTGTTAAGAGAACAGGGGTGGCTGTGGTCATCTCTGAAGCCCTAAGGGACTTCCAGTACCATGTGTGGACCAGAATCCTCAACAATGGAAAGGAAGTGGCCAAAAGAGGCCAAAGGGCTCTTAGAGGGTATCTTCCTGGTGGGAGCAATTCAAAGACCAGCTCTGACTATTAACCATGGTTCCTGGAGTGTGTTAAGAAGGATTCTGAGGCTCTGCCAGGGCTTCGGGCAGATCAGAACTCCCTGTTCTCTCTCAGCTCTGGGATCACACATTGTGGATGGCTGGTTGACCCATAGGAGTATGTGAGCCCCACCAAACACTGTCTCCCCAGCTCAGCAGCAGGTCATAAGTGGCCACAACTCTCCTACTCTGGAAGTGCCCATATCTTGCTTCCTGTGCACCAAGATGGGCCCTACCACCATAACGAGATCCCAGTGAGACCCAAAGCCTTGTGTTCTGGGCCTCTGGACTTTGGGTACCCAGTGGCATAGAGCAAGTCATGCTAGGTGGACACCTGTGTAAACCACCTCCCCAACAACACTTGCTCCTGGCCCAGAGAGCAGTGTCCCCACCCAGGGGGCTCCCCAACCTCATAAATGCAGAGGAGGTGGAGCTGGAGAAGAGAACAGAAAGGGAAGGCAAGGGCCTGAGGTGTGGGCCTGGAAACAAGGCCCCGGAACAACTCAATGTGGATAGGGCTGGGGCCCCGCTCAGAAGTTTGTAAAAGTCAGGCAGGACCTGGGTTGGTAGAGAAAGTGCAGGTCAGAGACAGGAAAGCTCAGGGGACGAGTTCTAAGGCAGACAGTGTCAGGAGGTGAATAAGAGAGACAAATGGAGAACAGTGCAGGTTCAAGGGTCAGAGGAGGCTTCCAGCAGGGCCAGGGCAGGGCCCAGAGGGCCCCCTTCCAAACTCCAAAATCCACACTAGGACCAGCTGCTTGGCCTGGCTTCAAGGATTGGAGAAAGCCCAGGCCCTGGATGCAAGCTGCTGGACATGAGTGCAGATGGGTATTTTTCTGGGGGAAGGGTCCATAATTTCGGT